AATAAACGAGACAAAACTTAAAAGCGATCTCTTTGTCATTGTATAAAAATTGAAATGCCTACAGCAAAAGTAACCTCACTGTCAAAATTCGATTTTTAAACTTAAAATGTTATTAACTTATAAAATCATTAATGTTTTCAAATAAGAAACTCAATTTTGATAATTAGATATTTTTGCGATAAGCGCATCAATTATGTCAATATTTAAATGTGAGTCAATGGACAAGGGCACCTCGCAATCGCGCGCGCAATGTACCATGCCTGAGCGTGCGAATTTCAGACGCCGTAATAGGATAACTTTAATCGATTATAAATATTATAATTTGAAAAGTATTATAGCCTTTCATTTTCATATAAGAGTTTTCTTAGAATGCTCTCTAGAATCTGCCAGTGAAACGACATACGACCTTTTTGGGACACCCTGTATATATTTTTTATTTGAAAAAAATGCATACAAATATTAATATTTAATTAATGATGATTATATAATTTTTACATTATTTTAATTTTAATATATGAAATATCATATTACAAATTCCTATATCAAATCTTAGTTTAATATATTTAATTTTATACTATGTCGGAAACAATCAAAATACAGATCTTATACACATCAACATTATTGCTATATAATTACTAAATATATCTGCTTGTAATATTTTATTTGTGCGCTTACAAAATTGATGAAAACATAAATATAAGTTGAATGTTTTATCTTGCATCTAGGTGGATCTGCAATGTGCTCTTGTTTCATATCTTCTGCCTTTTATTTTTTAACTTTTTGTATTTTTGTCGCATAGAGAAATATCGTCATCTATAATTTGCATTATATTTTTTACACTGTTTGTCATACAAACAAAGATTTTGTCGAAAATTAGCGAGCAATTCACCAAAAGCTTTATCCATAATCTCTTCATTTTCTTTGTCCGACATGTTATTTGATTATGTCGCATTTTGCGTTTACTGCGATTCGTCCCGCCATATTTCTGAATGAACATAACCAAAAAATATGTCGTATTCGCAACATTTCTTTGTCCGAGATAAAAGCCGGGATCACAGACTTTTGCACGCTGCATAACGCACACGACATAATGCATAAGAAAATTAACTAATCAGAATCCTTCATTTCATACTCTGATTGGTTGATTCTTTTATGGCTTATGCTTGTGCGTTATGCAGCCCCAGATAGCACAAAAAGTAAAAAAAGAACCCAGTTATATGTCACCAATTCTGAGTTCATTTTCAGATGCAAAAAGAATTCTTTTTCTAAAAGGGATTCTTTTTGCACCTGAAAATGAACTCAGAATTGATGACATAAAACTGAATATACTAATGAATTCTTTTGGGCTCTGTGTGCTATCTGGGATTATTAGTTCAATTAATATCATTAATATATGAGTTTATCATAATTATTTTAAATTAAAACTTAATATTTTATTTGTTATTTAAGTAAGATGTCAATGTACGCGTGATGTTATCTTGCTAACTGATGTTGTTTGTTTAATAAAATAAAACAAATACAACGCATTAAGAAAATTTTATTTTATTTATATTCTTTTATTTCGACTTCATTAAACAGGGAACGTCAGATTCGTATCTTTCAAATTATCAGAAATCCACTTGCTGAATTTCTCCTCGATTTCTGCGGTGAATAGCTCTTTCCAATTGCCTATCTTTCCTTGTCGAATAAACCCTTTTATAGAATTAATATTTACCATAGGATTTTCTCGGAAATTCTCTATTTTCAAATGTTCCGCTAATTTAACAATCTGCTCATCACTGTAAACTTTACCGAAGAACTCGGCGACTTTTTTGATGTTTCCAGGTAAATCCTAGAAATAGATGTAAATATTATCTTTAGAAATTATAATATCATAAAATTTGATTTTTTTAATATTTGAAACCTTTTACGATTTTTTATTTAAGAAATAGCGGGTATTATGTAATACTTTAGAATGCTATATAATATATTAGCATTTTTCTAGAACTCACTTTTATCAAATCTTCGTAGAAGAGGAACAGCAAATTTGTTCTGTGTCTCATCGCCCAAGCTTCCTTTACATGTTCCCAATATGGACTCCACGTCACTGAAATTGCGGAAAATTCGGCTCTTAAATCGCAAACTCAGGAAAGATAAATAAAAGAAGAATCAATCAATACTTTGTAAAATTTACTGTGATCATTCATAAAATAGTTACAATTATAAGTAATAATAATTTATAAAATTATGCTCTTAACATGGCAAAAATTGTTACGCTTAAATATAAGCAAAAGATTAAATAAGCAAGGATTACACATTAACAATTGCTAGATAAAATATGTTGAAAACTAAAATATGTTGAAATGTTAATTGTGATCCTCTAAAACTTACTGTGATTATTTAGAAATAGATCACAGAATTGCTCGAAAGTCCCTTGATAGTTGTAAAGTGTCAAATTCTTGTGGAAATTGAATAAGATAATAGAATAAGATAGAATAATTGAGATCACCATATCTCTTGGATTTCTCGCGACATAAATAATCTAAAAAAAAAAACATTTCTAAAATATTGCCTATAAATTACGTTTTATTGTATTATTCTAACATTATATGAATATAAATAAAATAACTTTTGTTTGGATTATTATATTAAATCCATCAAAAACTTGAGTATACATTCCAATATTTTATTTTAGATGTATGGATTAAATTTAGTTATAATAACAAATCTCTTTAATAACGAGTTGAAGAAAAGTAATTAAAATTAGAGATCAAATCGTCATTTAATGATGCTTTTTAACTTTTAACTTTTTTTTATTTCTCCTATTTTTACGAATTTTATTGTATGAATTTATAAATATATGTTTATAAAATGATCATAATCTCACCTTACAATCGCTATTTTTCACTGTTGGTAACAAATCAAAAGGCAAGTGTGTTTTGATAAAACGTGGTGATGTTTGATTTTGTACAAATTCCAAATCTGATTTAATTATTTTATGCACGTTGGAACTACATGATGCCACGTCCAAAGCATCCATTGCATTTGAACTAAATAAAAATTTTATTGTAAAATGCATCTTGATTTATGAAATTCCTTATTTCGTGAAATAACGAAATGTTACACAATTTTTTCTTGACATAAAAGAAATAGAAAAAGTCACCGTTTTTAAATTTTTTATTAAATTGAAAATGTAATCTAATCTAATAAAATATATCATATATTTCATTCAAATTAAATTAAGCTAGCAAAAAACATTTAATTTATATATTACAATGTTTGGTAGAAAAGTTTTGTCCAAATCTACGTGAAAATTTTTTCCTACGCTAAATATCTAGAAAACGTTTTTATAAATATGAAAAAGAGCACGTATATTATGTATAACTGTACCATATATAGGGAAATCTGTGTGTTAAAGGCCTCTGATGCGCTTGTTCGAAATTCATGTCATTTGCTACCAACCATATAAGTTCTTGTGTTATAGTCGTACCTAATTATTAATATATAATATCAATTATCAATATATAATATCAATTATCATATATATATATAAATTTTTAACACAAGACTGGCCAATAACGATCATAGCAGGATTTTGACGTTTAATAAATTTTCATGTGATTTTATATACATTCTTCTAGTTCTACAAACTGCGTTATTACTCTCTCAATTCATTTCTTAATTGAACTAGAATAGTAATATTATAATATCAATAGTAATATTATAATATTAAATTGATAGTCAAAAATAATACTGCTTACGAGCATCTCATAAGATTCTTCTCTCTCAAAACGCGATACAAGAATACTGTAAAAAAATTTTGCTGCAAAAAAGCGGAGAGAGAGAAGAATCTTATGAGATGCTTGTAAGCAGTATTATTAAATTGATTGCACTGGTCAACATATTAAAAGTTTCCCGAAAAAGGAAAGTAATTTCCATAGATTTTTGGACGCTGAAAACAATGCTGCTCTCAGAATTTGTCTATTACGTCACATTTTTTAGAATATTTTTTAAAACATGTTTTTCGCAATTTTTGAAAAATCGCAGCGGACGAACCTGAGGTGCGTCAAACTATTTTCTGAGAGCGAAAACGTTCAAACATATTTTGTCAGCTTTAAATAAATAAATAAATCGTTCTGTTACTTTCAATTGCTCTTTTCTTCTAATCGTCAGCTGAAAGATTTCACATAAGAAATCGGATAGGATAAAAAGATATTTAATCGTTTGCTATTGTCATAGAATCTTGAATATACTAAAAGCTCGTTCGGGAAGAACGCTGTCAGCGCTACCGCGTCATTCTATACTTGTCTTACGTTTAATAAATGATAAAGATAGAATGACGCGATAGCGCTAATAGCGTGCTCTCCGATCTCTCCTTTATAAAACTTCGATTCGACACTATTCAATGATATTTACTCACCATAATGTTATAATGTTTGAAACGACTTACCTGATCTAGGATATGTAACAATCCACGTATCATTCTGACGAACTTCGAAATTATATGTCGCATTGATAATGTCAACATATTTGTACGGTAAATGCCATTTCTTCTCACCGATTTTAACAAAACCATTTGTTATATTAGGATACAATTTAAATAATGCATCCCCTAGCTCATTCTCGACACGTTCCACTCTCAAATCTTTGAAGACCATGATTTATTGACAACTTTCTCGATCAAAAATAGAAAATAGTTAATTAAGATTTCCTGAATCTTCTTTGTATTTAATGTTTATTTATGTTGTATTTATGTTGTATTTTTGTTGAATGGAGAAAATATGTCTTTGTTGCAATATATGTATATTTAATGTTCCAGTTAATTTTGAAGGCTCACTATAGATGACTGTAACTACAAATCTATTAATACTCTGTACTAATACGATATTTTGTTGGTACGTCGTTTTAAAGCTTGGACATTTCTGCAAATAATTGGACACATGTTTTGTGCATTCATGAACATAATTACACTTTTTAGTGAAATTGAAAATCATGGAACGTGATAAAGAATATTTTCGTCATTTATTCATCGATTTATCTTCTATTTTAAGCCTCTATCAGTTAAACAAACATGTGAGAACTGGTTTCGACAACTGGTTTCAAAAGTGATTTTGATTTGAAAGACAAAGGATATATGTTCAGAACCAATCAAAAAAGTTTAAAGATGTCGAATAGCAGACATTGTTAGATAAGCTAAGTATTAAATGTGGAGCTGTTTCTGATCCGTTTACATATAATTCAACGTAAAGATTAAAAAAAAAAGTTAATAGAATGGTTCCACATAAATTGTCTGAATTGGTTTTTCAAAATTATTTAGCCTGTAGTCACACTTCTTACCTTTTCGTCAAAGAGGAACAGTTTTTGTATCAAATTGTGACGATAAAAAATGGATTTACTATGATAATCCTAAGTGTAAAAAGTCGTGGTAGACCTAGGCCAACCACTGGTCTCAACTACAAAACGCAACATGGAAGTAACTTGGTTTTGCTGTGTATTTGATGAAATTTGAAAGGCATCATGTATTATGAGCTGCTGAAGCTGAATTAAACAGTCAGTGTTGAACATTATCAACAACAATTAATCAATCAAATTATCAATTTAAATCATACTTTGAACCAGAAATGTCCAATAGATCAAAGAAAACACAAATGATCACAAAGCAAATTTGTTACATGATAACGTATGACAATGCCAGACCACGTTGCAAAAGTAGTTAAAGATACGTTATCGGCACTTCAGTGCGCGGGAAGTCTTATTACACGCTGTGTATTTACCAGACAATGCTTCTTCAGAAGATTATTACTTAATTATTTCGCTCGATATAACGCCTTGCTAACCAAATTTTAAAACATATAAAAAAATTAAAAAATGGCTCGAAGAATGGATTGTTTTGACGAACATTTTTTTTATTGCATTCACTTATCGCCAAAAAAGTAAAAAAAAGTTATAGCTAACGGAAAATTATGGAAAATATTTTCAATAAAATATTATTTAACGTCTTTTTGAAATAAATGTGCAGTTAGGGTTGTCACAACATAATAATGGTGATATTTTTCGCTTATCCTGATAACAAAGTTATGAGAACCATAGTACTCTGGAAGTGACCTACATGGTTGCCAGAACCTTAGTGAAGGTAGTTGCTGTATGG